ACAACTCAGGGTCAGGGCGTGCTGGTTAGCTCGTAGCCCTGGCTCACTCTGCCACACTGACAATGTAACCATTAACCAGGACCCAATTAGATAAACAACTACAGAAAGATGATTTTTCTTTAATTGTTGCAACTGGCTACTGACTGAGTGATCCATACTACCTAATAAGAGCCAAAAACTCATTTCTTTTCAAGAATTTTAAATCCCACTATGCTGATTCAGGAAAACATTCAGGCACCACAAAACGAACATCGGCTCCACCTCAGCGAGTCACCTTCTAAGAAGAATGGCCCAGTCCGAGCCAGTATAACTCACATACCCTCGATGTAGTCGAGGATGCGGTCGGTGAAGCTTGCCTCGTCCTTTCTCTTGGCCCGGACGACGGCGAGAAGCGCCGGCCTTCTTCTTCCCGGAGAGAGCAGGGCGGCGTTACCCCTGTCCCCGGCGCGAAGTGGAGGCGGCGTGGGGGAAAGGCGCGGGAGCAGGGGAGGCAGGGGCATTGGAGTCTCGGCAAGGAGGCGCACGAGAGCAGAGAGAGAGAGAGAGGTTTGCCTGCGCTCGCGCTCTCTGGCGGATTTCGCGTGCGTGACCGTGGTTGCCCGCTGCGGGATAACGCTTCAACGGATGGCCATGACCTGGCGCCGCCACCTTTTCTTGAGTAACCGTTATTATATGGGCCTAGTGCCTAATTGGGGCTCAGGGAGCCGAGCTTCCGTGCACCAAGCCCACCTAGAGAGCCCGATCCTCTATCATGGGCTGCAAATAGCAGTATCTGGTTCACGGCCCATGACTAGTCGAACGAACCCGCCTGCGGCCCCAACGCACCGCGCTAGGGTTTTGAGGCGGCGGCGGCGGCCTGTCCTTTTAAAGATGGACTGCTCGATTCTGCCGAGCCTTCTCCCTCGGTTGCTGTCTCTGTCTGTTAGGGTTTCGTCCGGGCGGAGCTCCGAAATCCCTCCTCCGCCTCGCGTTCGAGGCTAGGTAGCCGCCACCATGAGCCGCTCGGGGCAGCCTCCGGATCTCAAGAAGTAAGCGCCCGCATCTGTCTCCCCCTTCATATTAGATCCCGGTTTGCTCCGTTCCGTCGTGCTGATTTGGGTCTGTTTCCTGTGACGTCGCAGGTACATGGACAAGAAGCTTCAGAGTAAGTGATACACTCTCGATCCCACAATCCAGGCCCCGGTAGTTCACCTCTAGTTTTGTTTCAAGAAAATAGTTTTTCTTTGATGTTAAGGATGGGACAGGCATGCGTGTGCCCAGTATGTTTAATCTTAGCGGCGATATGCTCACAGTGATGATTAGGGCGGCACCCAGTTTTCTGTCCTTGTTAGGTCTGTTTATTAGATACACGGATCAAGTTCTGTGTGGTTTCTCCTGTTGTGAACTTGCATCAATTGCTTCTGCGCCAAAATAAATTGTTTCAATTTTTTTTCTGGCAATCTGAACATCCTTTTTGGTTCTAGTTTGTTCTTCAGCCTGACCATGCAGAGACATTGTATAAGTTTTCTGTGCTCTGTTTGTGATCTTGGTATTTGAATTGTCCTAAATGATGAACATAATATGAAGGCTATGGATTTATCTCCAGATGAAGCTTTATGTCATAGTTACTCTGATAGGGCATTCACTCACATTTTCATTTCATCTATATCATGTTGTACTTTATCGAATTATTAAGCGTCCTGATAGTCACAGAGCCATGTATCGATGGTTCTGTTGGTGTTTTGTATCCATGGCCATGATAGAGTGGTGACTACTCTATTTGTTCTGCTGTCATGATTTCTCCCTCATTTTTGTAGTTATTACTCTGATAATCTAAAAGTTATTCTGTTCAAAATCTATGTGGGATGGCTGCCTACATGACGATGATTTTCTAAAAGCTATGGATTAATTTCCAAATGAGGCTTTTTTTGTCATAGTTACTCTGATTGGCTTCCATATCTACCTTTTCGAATATACTTGCTTGTGTAAATCACCAAAGTTGTATTATTGAGTCAGTCAAGCTGTTGTTACAGTAGAGACTTTCTATATTTATAATGACATCTCTGAGGTCTCATTGTATATGCAGCCACAAGGCTTCCTTTGTATTTTTTTCTACATGAAAAATTTGGAAAGACTGTAAAGTGTATTACTGAGTCAAGCATCCATGACTATATATTTATAATGAGATTGAGGTTTCATTGTACATGCAGCCACAAGGATTCTTTTTTGTATTTTTTCCATGGGTGTATTGTTGCAATATCTTTCAGTTTTGCCATTTTATTTTTGTTATATCTTGGAGGTGCTGAGTTAGATTAATATTTTGCCGTTGAAATTATGAGTGGCTTATGTGTTTACTGTTTGTCCATTTCTTCAGTTAAGCTGAATGCAAACCGTGTTGTTATTGGCACACTTCGGGGATTCGACCAGTTCATGAATCTGGTGGTGGACACCACTGTGGAGGTCAATGGAAATGACAAGACAGATATTGGAATGGTGGTAAGTTTTCTTCTACTGAGTTATTTGGAACTTTTTCCACGTGTACTTGTTAAGCAGTTTTAAATGATGTTATGAGAATGCTTAAAAAATACAGTTTTTTCGAAGTCGTGCTTAGTAACTCGCATAATATAACAGACTACAATTATCTGCAGGTTATCAGGGGAAACAGTGTTGTCATGATCGAGGCACTGGAGCCAGTTGCCAAGTCCCAGTGAATCATTATTCTTAAGCTGATATATCACTAGCAGCTTGAAAACTGATGTAAATGATATCAGTGAACCCTGTTGTACCTTGACTGATGCTTTTGCACAGCAACATAACTTGGGAGGTGGAATGTTTATCCCTTTTTTCTATGTGGTGCTTGTGGCTATGCAAGCATCTACCCTTATTACTTGAATCTAACTCAAGCTCATCTACATGTTTTTTCTCAAGTACATACTACCATGTCACCTTCACAGCAGGCCTGGCTACCAGTGCTGGCTCCTGGTTCAACGGTGACTACATTTACTGCCTTCTCGGCGCTAACACTGGCAATGAGTCATTTCTTCTATTGTTCAACATTGCCCGTTGCCTTGTGAAGCACATGTGATTTGTCATCCATCATCCATAGTGGTGCATCTGGTCTGTCCTTGATGGAATCAGGATCAGATTCTTCTATAGTTATATTGTTCTACACTGTCCGTTGCTTTGTGAAGAACATGTTTGCTGGCGCATCTGTTCTGCCATTCTAATGCGGTCTGATTCTTCTATTAGCTGTCTCCAACCATCAAATAGCAGCGGAAAAAGTATTTAATAGTTTATTTTTATCTGTAAAATCTGTCAGATATTAATAGTGTCTAGTTATCTGTAAATCTGCAGATATTTTATAAATGGGACCTAGTAGATGGTTGTAGCATAAATCATAAATCATAATTAAACATTGACAGATTTAGGACGTGTTTGGTTCTGACCTTGGCCAACGTTGCCTGGCCATGCTCCATTTTGAGCTCTTGGCGGACGGATGGAGCTGCCTGGGAGAGCACCCTCAGGCCACGCCGTGAACCGAACAGGCTCCTAGTATGTGAAAATTTGTCAACCATATAAATAGCAAAAGCGTTTGGATGTTGCTCGTCAGCTGCTTCTCATCCCATATGTAGCACCAGATTTACTTTTGAAATATCCAGATGTAACAATAGCAATATACAGCCGTTTTTCATGTGCATCTCATGTGTAACATCAGATCTACTTTTGAAACATATAGAAGCAACAATAGCAACATAAAAAAAGATGATGAAACACTGCGTTTGAAACACTCGTGAAAACGCCCGAAAGGCATTTGAAATTCATTGTAAACATGAATATCTAGATGAAACATTTATAAACATACGTATGAAACACCTTAAAACACTTAAAATATTTGCTTGCAACATGTATATGTATGCAACATCTAGATCCACTTTTGCAATATCCAGACAAACCCCTTGCAACATTCGTGTGGATTAGAAACATTTGGGATATACACAACATACGTGCGCCATTCTAATATACGCAGCATTCCGATCTACTTTTGCATCATCGATATACAACGTTTGTAACATACCTCTGAAACTTTTAAAATATTTTGAATTGTATATTTGCAACATGCATCGTATCCTGTTGCGGCCTCCACCTTCTTCATTAGGGCGCCGGTGCGCCGCAGCCATAGCAGGAGTCGAGGCCACAGGGCTTCCACGCCAGGCTCGGCGCTTCTCCTTGCGCTGGCGACGCTTGTCAGCGTCGTCGGACGGGGCAGGCGGCGGAGAAAAGTAGCGTCAGGAGCAGCGGGCGGGTGCGGAACACGGCGGCGCTGCGAGCTCTGCTCGTCGGCAATGGCGACCTGCGCGCTCTGCACTGAGGAGGCCGAGGCATGTGTGCCGTCGAGCGCTCGTCATCGATGTCGTCCCTGGCTCCTAACCTTGCGCCATCTCCGGATCTCTACCAGAGGCTGCGAAGGTCGAGCACCCTTCTCCGTCCTTGCACGGAAGTGGCCGCGCTTCGTCGATCTCCATTCCTGAGCTATAATCGACCAAGGTAGGTAGTCCATAGGAACCCCCTTGTCCTCCTCTCCCTCCCAATGCTCTTGGATTCGAAAATGGTGACTGGAATCGCCGAATGGCGAAGCTCCAGAGAGCTGCCATGGTGGTTACGGCGGCGCGTCGAAGAGGCCACCCGGGGAGGTCCCGCGCGGATTGATGATAGGAGAGAAGATAGATGATTGCATGAAAATTTTATTTGTAGAAACTATCTATTGGGATATAGTTTCTATATATAGTGTCTATATTAATCGACAAGTACGAAACTATCTTATAGTTTTACGGTTGGGACTAACCTTGGGACAACTCTAGAGATGGTTTATCCAGGACGAAGAGAGTATTTCATTACTCACATATGAACGGTGGCTACATTTAAAATCTAGAAGAAAATGAAGAAAAATAAGATCGAGGACAGCAAGAGTGCAAGACACACACACACGACTGCGTTGGTCTCTTGGAAATTGGTGCGGTTGTTTACTTTTTGATGAGGCTGTCAAGAAACCGTCTCCCTTGGGCCAATGCTATGACGCTGCCATTGAGGTAGTCGAGCTTTGGGATGGATCTGTAGCGTGCCTGTGCCCGTGCGTCGCCTCCCCCGAGGAGGAGCTCCGGGAGCGGCGCCACCAGCCCTTGGACACATGCATCATGGAACATGGCGACGGTGGTTCGGCCCCTCTCGGCGTCCGGGACCACCCGGTGCTCGACGCTGACGTAGGCGCCGTTGGTGAGCACGTCGAGGACGTCGCCCACGTTGACGACGAGGGCGCCCGGCAGCGGCTGCACGGGGAACCACCTGCCGCCCCTCCTGACCTGGAGCCCCGGCGTGTGGTCGACGTGCAGCAGGAAGGTGAGGGCCTGGGTGTCGGTGTGCGGCGCGATGCCCAGCACCTTGTCCGGGTGCCGGCACGGAGGGTAGTGGTGCATGGACATGCTCTGCCCCTTCTCGTTCCCAGTCCCGGCGAAGAAGGCGCCTAGGAGCGCCGCTTGGCTGACACCGAGGTCGGTCGCCATGAAGCCCAGAAGGCGCCTTGCGAGATTTGTTGTCTCCACGGAGTACCTGTCAAGCGCATGCCTAGGAGGCAGGCAGGCAGCGAGGATCCATGGAACACCTGTTGATGCGTATCTAATCGACAGGGAAATTGAAATTCTGCGTTTCTGACACAAACCTACCTGAACGTGGGTGGGTTCGTCTCCGGCCACAAATCCATGTTCCTATCTTGGACTGGCTGCGTGATGAGGAGTAGGCACTCCGCCCAGTCCAGCTTCTCGCTGGAACCCCCGTTCAAGTGTTGGCCGAATCCTTGGAATCCGTCTCGGACGGCCACCGTGTTCTTGCTCTCTAGTGGCGAGCTGAACAACTGTGCAGCGCTCTCCTTCATCTGCTGTATCGCTGCTTCCTCCACCCCATGGTTTATGAGCTACAAGAAATGGAGCCATGGAGGATAAGGATAGGATGGGAGAGAAAGGAAATGGATCGATATGATCCTCACCTGAAAGAATCCCCACTCTCTGCACGCGGAGCCCAGCTTTGCCGTCTCCGACGCCGACGAGTCCGGATCGACCAAGCTCGCCATGTCGACCACCGGCAGCTCCAGCATCTCATCCTCACCGACGACGACCGCACCAGCTGCCTGGACCTCCTTGGTTCGGATGAACCTCTCGTCAGGGAGCTTGTTGGCGGACTCGGTGAACAAGGCCACGGTGGCGTCCGTGATCTTTTCCCTGCCGAAGAGCTTGCCGGCACTACCATCATCCGCCATTGTTCATTCTTCTGCGTGCCTGCCTACCTGCGGCTATGCTTGGCACGGCACAGGTTTACCATCAAGAGTCCAATCATTACATACTTTATGTATATATGAATATATATACAAACCAACCCTCAAGTTACGCGTCCGATCCCGTCCATGCCCATGCATGTGGAGATCTTGCATTATTGCAATTAGTGATGGAACAGAGGTTCAAGGGTGTAACTGAGCTACGCCTGGTTTACAAGGATATATTTGCATTTTTCTAAACACGACCAGGTGAAGTTGTTGGACCTACTACTGTATTTAACAACAATCGGCTGACGTATCATGTGATGTTGCGCAATTTTAATTGGTACTAGTAAAAGTACCCAATGCGCTGCAACAGGATCGTTACCGATTTCTAACTTTTGTTTGTCTCACTATTTACACTCGCCGGTGGTAGCCTCGAGCTTGTCTGCAAGGTAGGCGGTGACAATGACAGTGCGAGTTGGCTTAGGTGGAGGCGGAGGCACATCAAAGGTGCAACCGTGGTAAACTGGAGGAGGACGGTGTCCCATTTGGTGTTAGATTCGAAATTTCATACTTTGACACAAACCAACTACATTGTTGCAGGAGAAAAAGATGAGTTTCTTAACTTATAGGATGTGAATCCGATTCCTCTCTACGCCGTTTCTCTATAACTTTTTTTTTGCTTCTATTTCACCCAATCTATCCTTCATGTGCACAACCTCCTCCCTTATGGTTACATGGATCAGACTGGGATTCTGACTTCTGAGGAGGGGCACGTGAGGGAGCGACGGGCTAGGAGGTGAGTGAGCGGTTACACGGGCCAGACTCAGATTCTGACTTTCTGAGGGGTGCCTGAGGAAACTATAGAGCAATGGGCTAGACTCAGGACTCTGACGAGGGGTGCAGGAGCGATCCAGTAGCGAGTGACGGGCAGGAGGTGAGCAAATGGTTGGACTATTGAGAATATAGGATAGGTTGGGCTGGACGAAAATTGGGTGAAGAAAAATTTTACCTTTTAATATTAGACTAGAAACATGCCCGTGTGTTGCAATGGGATGCATAACTTATTATGGAGTTATCTAGATCATTTGTGGTTTGAAGATTTATTTAACGATTGTGTCATGTGCTCTAATTCATCTTGGAATTAGAATGGTAGCTTGCTAGACACAGTGCTTTTGTAACTCTTATAGGCACATGTGAGACTTGGAGTTTTTATCTAATGATCTTGTCATACATTCTAGTGCTTGGACATGCTACTCTAACATATATATATGCATACGAGGGAGTGTGTGTCATCATTTCAATTTGTCTTGGGATTAGACGCCGAAACGTGTTTGGATATGATGTTTTAACCCATTTAGGTGTGGGAGAGTGAGTGTCCTACGTTATAGTTTGATCGGATTTTACACCATAGCTGCATTCAGCATTCTAATTAATAGCATGTTTTTGCCCGTGTAGGTATTAAATCAACTTTGGTTACATCTATATTATGAGTGGAGCTCATGGCAAATAATCTTTTACTAGAAATTTTGGTGGGCATGACGCCACCTATCAACACCGATTATGTCAACATCTGTGTGCCGCCAGCCAGGAACAGCATGCGGCACCTGGAGCAGTCCATGGCGAGCATGGATATAGATGTGGACCCAATGGCCACGACGCCCATCACCAGTCACAACCGCCGATAGTAGTGACCAGTGGCGGACCCAGCCAAAAATCTCAGGTAGCACGGATCACCATATACATATACCAAACTTTACTGATATTTGGAATACAATTTATGAAAATAGAAAAATTTATTACTTGAGACACAATTCAACAGTGAGGTTTCATCAGTACCAAACTCTTCCACAAGATGTGTTGGCATAGTCGGCTAGAATAGATTCATGAGCCCGAAACCCTAGCCGCCCCCTCCCCTCCCTCCCCTCCTCTCACTGCGTCCGGTACTCCCTCCACTCCTCCCCCCGTGCAGGATGTCTAGGGGCGCGCGACGAGCCGCCCGTGGCGCCCCCCTCCATAACGCTGGTGGCGGCGCCGACGTCTACAACCTCTCCACCAGCTCCGTCCTCCCCCCTTCCGTCACCTCCCTCGCGTGGGATTCGGAGCTAGGGCGCAGCAGTGTGCGGCAGCCGTTGTCACCACCCGCCTCTCCTGAGCGTGTCTGGGGGCTACCCCAGCCCCCGGAGCCCCGCCGCCCTCTTCATCGCCGCCTTTGGAGTGCCCCCACCCACCGTCTCCGTCGCCGGGATGGGCCGGCGGGACCAGATCTGGGGCCATGGGGCTTGCGCCCCCTGCCGCACTTGGTCCCAATTGCTCAATGTCCACCTCGAGGAGCCTTGTGTGCCGCCCCTGCAGCAGTCCGACGAGCTCGGATCTGAGGATGTCCGACCTGCCGCCGGGGGAACCTCCTTCGCCTAGCCCGAGACGCATCTGATGGAGGATGAGTCGCTGGTCATCGCCGAGGACTAAAAGGACCTAGGATGCCGCCTAGAGGGGGGTGAATAGGCATTTTTGAAAATTAACACCTTAAATATGGAAACAATTAGAAAAGGGATGGAAACTCCAAATTAAGAGTAATACCAACCCTCACAAGTTAGCCACAGAGTAAACAAGGTATAAAGAATATATCTAGAAGCTACAACCCTGCAACACAAAGTTAGATCAGAAATCAAATAATATTCAGCCCTGAGCTCTAATACCGGACGTGTCCAGTATGAATACCGGACGTGTCCGGTATATACGATTTCTACAGATCAGCCCAGAACTTGCTCCTTTCGATTTCTATCTTCAAACCAAACTACAAGCACCTACTAGAGATGGCAATATACACAGAGAACCTGCACAAGAGTTGGAGCAATACAAATATAAAATGAAATACAAATTGAAACACGATAATTGTTTTACCAAAGTAAGGACTTGTTCGAGTTATACTCTCCGTTGAGGGGGCTGTGGGTGACCCAGCGAAAGGTCAGCCCTAGAGGTTACCACGAAGGTCACTCTTGCCGGAGTCTTTTCCAACTCTTTTTCCTCCTTCTACTAGTTGATTCCGAGGCGGCGGAATCGACCGTTACAAACTTTCCGAGGCACACCACAATCTCTCGGGTGCTCTCCGGCGACGCCTAGCTGTCTAGGACCAAAGAGTCCAAAAGTAATAAATGCAAATCATGAAATAGACAATATGCACAAGTGCTCAAGTGGTGGCTTGCTCTCTTTTTGAAATTCTCTCTTAACCCACAAATGTATTTTGCGATTTGGATCACACACTCACTAAGAGAGGGTTTGGGAGAGTTGGCAAGGCTCAAAAATGTGTATGTGTATCAGCAGAATCAGCAGCCCCCAAAGGTCAATGCTTGGGGGTATTTATAGCCCCCTTAGAAAAACTAGTCGTTTTATAGCCGTTGCCATACCGGACACGTGCATATCGGACATGTCCGGTATGACTTACATTGCGCCAACGGTAACTAAGTTACAGTGTCAATGTGAGGCATCGGAACTCTCAATGAATGCCGGAACTCCCGACCGTTGGAACTCCCGACTCATGTCGGAACTCCCGACCCTCAGTATATTTGGAAACTAAGTAACTGAGTTGAAGTTTGTGAGGTGTTGGAACTTCCGACCATGCCGAAACTTCCAATTGGAACTCCCAACTCACATCGGAACTCCCAACCCTCAAGGCATTTGAAAACTAGCCATTGGCCTCTGGTCGTCCATACCGGACACATCCGGTATGACCAGGACAGTGAACCATCTAAGTCAGTTAAGCGCGACACGTTGGAACTCCCGACCATTGTCGGAACTCTCGACGAACCAACCCGAGAACAACAAGAATTTTATCGTTGCTGGGCGCATACCGGACACGTCCGGTATCAATACACATCCGGTATTGCCAGATCAGCAAAACACAAGTTAGCTCTTTTGTCTCTCAAATACTCAAAACTCACATGGGTTGGCTTGAGCACTTATGAAACATTATCTATCAACATGATGGATCCCTCTTAATAGTACAACATTCCTATTAACTCAATTATAAGGAGTATAATGAATTTAAACCTTTTGAGTTGATCTCTTTCAACCGAAGCCGTGTATTCCACTCTTCATCAAGTGAGGGTGCCAACATGTTGATATTGATCTTTTCACTTGAGCATAGCCATCTTGAGCACGTGACTTGATTCCATTCATCAAATTTGAATAATCCTAAATGTATCAAGTCACTTCCATCAAACACTCCAATAGTGATTTGATCGTTCACATTGACATGACTATCATAGCTTGATTAGTACCTCAACTAAATACAAGTATTTCCTTCTTCACCTTAGCTAGGTTCTTCAGCCGCTAAGCCGTCGCTTGCCCTTCACCCTTGCTTAGTACCTCAAAGCCTTTCCTTGCTATCTTCACCATCTCAAGCCATCAAGTCACATCTTGTGTTGAATCATCCATTCATCTGTATTGTTACCTTTTTTATTTCAATTTAACAAGCTTCAAATATGAGACCATTCCATATGCAATCCCTCATGTCTCATTAATTAATTCTTACGAGCTTGCTTTTACACAATACATGGAAATCCCACAATAAATAAGCCTTTGCATGAATTTCATTTGCATCGTTGTCTTGTGCTTGAACTAGATTGTTTATACAACAACACATCATTTTGGCTTTCATTAAGTACCTGTGAGATAACCTATTACCTGTCCACACTTAGCAAATGGGTTAGACCTTTAATCACATTGTCATTCAATCATCCAAAACCCACTAAAGGGCTAGATGCACTTTCAATCTCTCCATTTTTGGTGATTGATGACAACTTGATTAAAGCTTACAAAAGAATATAAACATTTAAGCTTTTGGGTTCAATGATTTATGAGAGGCTCCCCCTTAATATGTGCTTATGATTAGTATTCACAAAATGACCTTAAATGTCAATTGCACATACTAAAATATATAGGAGACTCTCCCAAAATCATTGCATCCGTGGGGTGCATGTGTGTGTGACAAAGTAAAACCG